ATGTTGTTGGTGAATAAAATGAGTGGAGTACTTTCATAATCTTAAGATTTTGAACAATTTTTCCTCTATACTTTCCAGCTTACCATACTTCTCTGAATTTTTACTCTTCTTATTTGTAAAGATGTTTAGATATTATTACTATATTATGTAGCATGTGTGGTTAATTATTTTTCATTGCATAAACCTATTGCTCGGTCTATTGGGGGCATTAGTTGGATTGGCTCAGACATTTAGTGCGCTTCCAAGCGTGTGTGTGAGTTTCCTCCCTCCCCCCTCCTAACTTTGAACCAAAAAAGGCGGGGGGCCAAAATTATACAAACAATATTCTTCAAGACCAGGAGGTGACCTTTTATACATAAATGGTTAAGGCAGTGAGCCCACCCCCTTGCATATAATTTCAAATCCCCTTTTCTTCGTAGATTAGATCAATTTAGACTATCACTTGTATTTAAAAAAATAGCACATGGCAGGTTAATTTAAGAGTGAACCAAAAATTGCTCCAAAATACATCCAAATAATGTACATTATACCAAAACACCAGTACAATGAGAGCGGTATTAGCACTTGAGGAGAAAAATACATATAGGAGGAAAATATATAAACCACAAGTTTTTTTTTATTTCCTAATTTATTAATTTTAATTCTCCCAACGTCCACAGAAATTTAAGCCATCACACATGCATCGATGATCATCTAAATCTAATTCACTTTAATTTATGTTTGATTTGCTTTGTTGTTGTTGATATTGTCGTCGTTGTTTGATCCAAGTCCAGTCCCAAGTCCAGAATGGGCAGACCGCCTGTTTGAGTCCCGTCACTATCATTCTCAATCTCCCCCTCTAACGTCAGTCCTTCAATTCTTGCTGCTATTGGATCCGTTTTAATCCTCACGTCTATCTCTGCGCATTACATATACACCAACAACATATATATATATATTAATGCGAATTTATAAACAATCTATATCATCTTATACTACATCGTGGTCTAAAATAGTACAAATGATTTTTATTTATTTTATTAATTACCTGGATTTGAGAAGAACCAAAGAACAAAGGCGCATAGAAGAAGCACAATGGGGATGACATGCACGGCATTCTCAGCAAACTTAACACGAGACCTTTCCTTCTTGGCCAACTCCGCTATGGGATCGTACACCGGCAGCTGATCACCGCCTTGATCAAACGACACTGACACCCGTAGCCCCGACGGTCCCTTCCCCGCTGACGGAGAGGAGTTTGGGTGCATGAAGTACTCATCCGCCCGGCTCCAGCTTGCCGATCTGTGCATCTCCTAATTTTCTTGGAATATTAGTGTGTATTAAATTAAATTATTTTATTATTTATAGCTAGTACGTGACAATTAAGAGCTTGAATTGATGTATATCGGTAATGAGAATGATGATCAGAAAAGGAAGCATACAATATTGAGCAAGGGGGTTTGAAAGGTTGTGTATGTGTTTGTTGGATGTTGATTGGAGTATAAAGTGTGAAGTGAGAGAGAGAGAGAGAGAGAGAGAGAGAGAGAGAGAGCAAAAGAAATACCGAGGTCAAGGAAAACGGCTTAGATTTTGGATCAGAACTAGTTTTTTGGATCATTATTTTGACTCTGCAATAAATATTCTCATGTCCTTTCTATTAATTCCACATGCACATCCATTCCACATAGATATGGTGGTAACCTGGACCTTGTAGCAGTAACCATTTGGATATATGCTCCCTCAATTTCAGCTCCTCTTTATACCCAATTTAGATGTAGGATCAGTTAAGTATGTCAAATTTTGCAGCATCGTAAATACCGATACTTTATATCACTAATCTTAATCTAAGCTGATTTAACTGTAACGAAGCCTAACCCAAAAAATAAAGGTTAATAAGGTGCAACACTGTTTAAAAAGATGGTACGTGGTAAAAAAGTTGAGGCTCAAACGCCTCCGAAAAAACCCTAAACACGCCTTGTCGGGCTAATACACACATGATACAAAGAAAGAAAATTAAACAACATAATATCATAGCCAAATTCTAAGCCAGCAAATAGTGGCACTATTAAGCTAACTTTGCCCTTCAGTCTGCTACCCTTCTCCGATATAATTAGAGACTCTTAATTTGGTCCCAAAAAAAAAACTAAGAAGTAGTCATTTCCAAAAACTGAGAAAATAACTAAAATCAACAAACAAAAAAGAGCACTCACTATAGAGCTAGATTACGGCTTGAAATTGTTATTTTTCTATATTTTGAGTGTGTTAATGAAGCTCTTCCCCTCTGCTAGATCATTGGTGGAGAGAAAATTCAGAAAATCTTTGAAGCTGCTCTCTTTGTACCTCCCAGGATGCTCCTCATCCACAAGCTCCTTGGCAGTCCCCATCTTCTCATCCAATCCCAAACTATGCAGACTTGCAATGGAGATTCTTGTCCTCTCACGGTTCAATGTGGTCCTGTGCACAACGCTCTTGTACAACCCATTGCTTAGCACCTCAAAATGGTCACCCACATGGACTTGTAGGGCACCATGAAGTTGGGGGACTTGTTTCCAGGCTCCTTCCTCAGCGTGCATGATTTCGAGCCCCGGACAGCTCTGAAGGACAATGGTTAAGCAGCTATAGTCTGAATGAGGAGGCAACCCTAGTGCAATTTCAGGATTTGGGCATGGTGGGTAACAGTTGACTGTAATGACTTGCAACCCATCTTCCAGTTTGTTGCTCATGTAGGTTGGGCCTATCCCCAAGCTCTCAGTGATGGCTTCTGTTGTCTCCAAGCTTGGTTTCTTCACTTCTTTGCAATACTTTCCCATGGTTTCCCTAGAGATATTCAAGTACTAATCAATTAAGATTTGTGATGAGAACAAATTACTAATTAATAAAAAATGAACTTGTGCAACAATGTTAATAACTGAGGCAGTCAAGTATATGCCAACTCTTTTACAATAACTGATCACGTCATAAAGTAACTGTGAGAACTTAAAAGACACATCCTCCCAAAAATTTCTCTAGATGATCCTAGATTCATATGAATAAAGCATTCAAGTATTGAAAGTCAATTGATGACGCATGGGGAAAAGAACAAATTGAGTACAAAGATGAAAGCTACATTAGAAATGATTAACTGTTCCTGTTTACCATGCTTGTCAGCGCTAGACTATGCTCCATGACGGTTGATATTTATGAGGATCATTGGATATATAATATGTATAGCTAGTGAGTGACCATGTTTTATTGAAATATTTTAATGTGAGGCCTCCAGATTGCCAAAAGTCAAGAGCGGCAACTGCCCAAGGATTTACAGAAAGTACGACAAAATAAGACAAGACAACAATTTAGCTGAAGACCATGCTCTTAAATAAGATGTATGGTTAGTTATATAGTCGGCTACGTACTTATGTTTATTTTAATTTTCTCTTTTTTTTTTTGGGTTTTGTTTTGTTTTGTTTCTTTTGGAAATACAAAGAAAATATAAGAGATTAAAATATAAGTGTATATACCTATAGTTAGATGGATTGTTAGGCCAGGTATTGATCCAGTCTGCCAAGGGGTGAGCATAATGCTTGAGAAACACCCTCCAAAATTGAATCTTATCAGTTCCATCCTTGAAGCTTGTCCCATACCTCACTGGCTTGTGAACATCATTAGACATGAACTTGGCCTTCTCAGAACCTGGCAACTTGAAAAATTCTGAGGCCGAAGCAAGAGCCTCATCTAACACCGATTGACAGATTCCATGGTTGACAATCTGTTTGCATGTTATATATATATATATGCATGGTTAGGTTATGAATGGAACATGAAGATCATCTAACCAAAAGAAAATTATAGAGATTAAGCTTACTTGAAAGAATCCTAGTTGACGACAAGCTGTTCTGATTTCCTGGATAACTATTGCTCGTTCATGAGAACCTTGTTTTAATTTGCCAAAATCAATAATGGGGACATTGGCAACGTCTGGAGTCAAACTTGGACGATGTGAAGTTGGAATTACATAGCACCCGGGTACATATGACAAGCCCCTCTCTTGTGCACTCTTCCCGGTTGAAAATGAGCTTGAACAACTTTTATCATCATCCATAAAGTTGCCTCAGCTAGCTAGCAAACTATAGAATTCAAACAGAAGCGGAGAATGAAAAGGTTCATATCTTGTAACACACAAGGGGAACAAGGTAATGGTTTGATGCAAAAAAATGTGTAAGGAGGGAGGGGTTTTTATATAGAAAAGTTTTAATACTAGCTGCACTTTGTATATGGGCCTTTGGATTTGTCATAAATCTAGCTAGCTGAAATCTTTGTGCCACAAAACTATCAAATCAAAAGCAGGTCCAAAAGCACTTTCTTAATGTTTAATTAATTGCTTTTTCATGTAAATCTAGAGAGTTCCATGGGGCTACAAAACAAAGGAAATAAACTAGACATTTGTCATATGTGAAGAATAAATGTTGGGGAAATTGGAAACTGCTGAGGAAACTAGTTAAAGTATGAATTTGGCAGATAGTGGAAAATGAATCAGGTCAAATCCTCCTTGTATTTGGCCATGCAGCTGGGCGAGCTCCATCCACTTGTCCCTCAATTTCAGGTTCATAGTTTTTTTTAAAAACTATTCAGGTTTTGGTGCCGCTGTTTTTGCTTGTACAACTGTAATGTAATACCAAGATTTCAATGCCACAGGCCTTTTCCCCCATTAAATTCTGCTAGACTTGACTGGATAAGAACAGAAAAGGAGAACATATACAACCACATTCCCCCATTAGTACTATGTAATGATCTGTCTTAACCTTAATTTTGAGAAAAAAAGGAAGTATAGGATTGTACTAATGGAATATATGTAATAGATTCCTGTCTTAACCTTATATGTGTTTTATTCCTTGCTGCTAGCAATAGCTTGGCTTCACACCCGAGCTAGCTAGATTTCTTCTCGCTTCTAAAGAAATCCTGCACAACAGCAGTTCATCATTGAATGCAATCCTTAATTGGAAATACGTACAGAACAAGGATGTATAATTGGAAAATACTTGAATTTTTCTGAGTATTTTAAACGTGTACAAAACATAGATGTACAATTGGAAAATACATACATACATGTATAATAAACATTAACCGTGTAAGTGCTAAATTCTTTATACAAGTAATAACTTTGGGAAAGTAAAAAATTAAAAAGGAACAATAGAGACTCGGATAATGGCCTAATAGTAATGGATAATGCTATAAACTACTCTTATCGATAAACAAAAATCGGGGAAAATTTAAAAGAAAAAAAGGATACCAGTATATCTATATATATACATAGAGAGAGAGAGAGTATACGGTTGGCTATACTTATTATAAAAATTAAACCAAAAACCCCGTAAAGTCTCTCGGCTATACTAATTTTCTAAAAAAAACAAAAAAATTCGCGTATAGCTGATTAATGAAAAAGCAAAACAGAGCAGCCGCAAAAAAAGAGTACAGCCGTGCGGCTATACTGTTATTTAAAGAATAAAAACCCGCAAAGCGACTAGTTGCCCAAGTGTCAAAACCGTATGGCCGCACGGCTATACTGTTTAATAATAATAAAACCGAGTATAGCCGCGCGGCTATACGATTTATTTTTTGTTTTTAAAAAAAGAAGGGTCTAGCCATTAGGTGTCCGCGTGTCAAAATAAGTATAGCCGCACGGCTATACGATTTTAAAAAATTGAAAGATCAATTATAGCCGGACGGCTGTACCATTTACGAAAAAACAAAACAGAGTCGTAGGCCCGTTCGACGGTTTGATGTGATCGAACGAGAGAGAAGAAAGAGATGAGATCGACGGCAGGAGAAAAAGCTAGGGTTTCTCAGTCCTCGCTCGCTCCTCTCAAATGGCAACAAGCAAGGGAGTTTGGGAGTGATGGGAGCTCACACACTTTCAACTCTGATCCCATTTTACCACAACCCCACCAATTCCTTGCCGTTTTTTTTGTCTGGTAAGCCTTTCAATTCTCATTTTCCCATTTCGATTATTTGGATTTAGACGGATCTTATGGCATATAAATAGCGAGAATTTCATAAACCAAAAGAAAATTTTGATTCTGACATATTGGGATAGTTGGAACTCGGAAGGCATCAATCAGTAGATTTGAAAGATAAAAACTTTAATCTTCTAGCAAAATATAACCCAACCATTGATTACACATGTTTGGAATTTGAAGCAGCCGGAAAAACCAATTCTCACAATGATAGAAATCAGAGAAAAATATTCTGTTTCTTTATGGATAAACATGGTTGTGAGAGAAGAATATGTAGGAAAGTAAGTTTTCAAGCATTGGATATGGCATTTTATTTTCTTGGTAAAGTCTTTCCATAGCTTAGTTTTGAAACCTGGTATCAAATATACGGTATTCCCTCCTCCTGCTTCCCTCTTCTCTCTATTTTACATTATGATTTGGATCAGGTAATTAAGAGTCATGAAGACCGTTGACCTCTTTGGGTCAATGATGTGCCTTCCACATAGTTAGCTTGATTTTTTATTGTTCCAATACTTAGTTGGATTTTATTGTACTTAGTGTTTGAGGTTGAGGATGTTCACAGGATTTTAGAGGACATCTTGTTCATCCCCTTTCTAACTCTTTTATCATTAATAAAATCCATATTTGTTACCAAAAAGAAAAAGAAAAAGAAAAAAGGGGCTTACTTTGAGGTTACTACGTGCACCCTCACTCAACATTGACCGAAAGGCAGGCATATGCACTCATATGACTTAACTTACGATCATATTGTTGCGTAATTGTGGATTTATTTTTCTGTCATTAGGCAGATAGTGGTCATCACTGCAATGGATGTAGCTTTTGCTGGGCTAATGGAATATAGAATAGCGTTAGTTTGTATGTCTCACTCTTTTACATCATTTGCTTTGTACCACTGGGAAAATAGGATTGCAACTCCAAATTACTAAACTTGATTCAAATAGGATTGCGACTCTTAACATGCAATTCACCACACTAGCTTATTATTTTATTTTGTCCCAACAAGGAAAGTTCAGACATACCGTCTTTTGATCATCGATGACTCATAGACAGTTAGGATTTTGGCCTCTAAATGATTTAGTTGTCATTACTCTGTTGTTCTTTCCATAATAACCTCTGGTTCTTATTTCTTCAAAATTATGATCACTATACAGATTATGATGAAGGCTTGAATATTTGACTGAGTAGGGGAAGAAAAAATTCTTACGCAAGTTCAAGTATCATTTAGTGCATATCTCACCACTACCCTCGATGGATCAAAGCAAGATGTCAGGTCCCCTGATCAACATTGAGGTATCAGTTCTGTTTTGTGGTTAATTTTATTATCATTAGTTTCAAGTAACTTTCAGATGTCAGTGTGGGACAAAACTATTTTTCTGTATAATGTGTTGTTAGTGTACTTACTATTACCTGAACAAGGCTCGACGAGTGAGCTATTGTGCATGTGAACACTGATCACATAGGTGCACAGGCACAAACATAATTTATCTTTCGTATCATTTAGGGGTTTTTACAATCCTATTGCTGTTTTATCAATGAACCCTTGACTAGCATTTTGGTTCAATGTTGTCACATATCAGAGTCTTGGGGACAAAATTGAGGTGCTATTGTCTGAAAATATGCTCAGTAAAGTTTCCGTTGATTGTTATTTCAAACTGGCCTTTCAACATCTTCGCCAAAATGGGCAACTCCATGTGAAATTATATATAGCAATTTGCCTTTCAATCTGGTATATTTGATATGGGCCTCACATTCATGTCTAAATTTTGTACATGGTTGTATTACTCATTGGCTTACAGTTAAATGTGATAGCAAAAGGATTTTCTAATTTCAATGTATAATGTTTGTTGTGAACTTTAGGTCAATTAATGCCTGGATGCAATTCATAGCATATGGATTCAGGAAGATGCACAGGGGATGTTCAAAGATAGCAGTCTTCGGGATTACACTTTATAATCCACAGCTTCAGCTCCTACTTTAACGGTTGCGGTGTATTTGAGAGACCATTTCAAAGGACAGAGAAAAGGTAGGCAGTCGCTAGCAAATTAGTAGAGAAAAAGGATCGACTTCAGAATGGGTGGAGTTATAAAATTGCACTGAAATTTTTTTCTTATCCCATCTAGTTTGTTGAATTGATTGGGGCATTTCCATGCATCAAGTAAATATTTTGGACGAGAGTTTATGAACTGTTTTCATGTAATATGTGTACATACATATAAAGATATTGAAAAGAAGGCTTTTATGTTGCTTTTTTATTTTTCAGCTCCCAATATTGCAGAGTATTAAGGGGAAGGTAAAGATTAAAATTTTGGGTAACTATTGCTCGTTCATGAAAGAACCTTGTTCCTTGTTTTAGTTTGCCAAAATCAATAGTGGGCACATTGGTGGCGTCTGGTTCAAACTTGGAAACTATAGAATTCAAACTAAAGCAGAGAATGAAAAAGGTTCAAATCTTAATTTTTGATACAGCTTTTCTCAAAAGAGATTGTGCTTTTGTTTGAACTTTGTGCTGGGATAGGATGCAACCAATAAAAGATAGTTTCCCTCTTTTGCATTCTCATGGGAATTGGGAAACGGAACTTGTGGATCATAACTTTCTTCCCCTGTATGCACATGCACTGGAATATGGGAACCAGCAATTTCTCATGTTGGGCGCTTCAGTTGCAAATCAGATTATTGAGGGTCCCCAGTTAATGTATGAATCCGTGCATTCATGGATTGTTGGAACAAAAAAGAGTGGTGCATTATTCCATGGTTATTATGAGAGTCAATGGGGGAGAAGAAAAGAAATATTATTTTGACTGTTTTTTCTTATCATTTTGAAGAAAAATCTACAGAAACACTTAATCACATGTGCAATATGGAAGCTGCAAGATTTGTGTTGGGTGCCTGCACAAGCGAACTAATTTCTCATCTTAATTTCTTGTACAAAGCAAACAAGCATATATATTGTTGACAAAGTCAACAAAAAGGAGGTTTGGAGTTGGAGGTGTTTAACTGCTCACCAACTTGCTCTTGAGGAACAACATATGTACTCTGAATTGATCAAGAATGCAAGACATTCTCACAGTTGAAGTTAGGACATCTAATAATAGGAAATCCTCAAACATATAAATCTATAAAATGAAATCCCCCTCTTATGTTTTATCTCATCTTACAGTACATTCTCATTCTCCATTGAAATGGGAAAGCTGCTTCCAGTTCTTGTTTTTGGTCTTGCTGTCCTTGGGTTTGCATTGACATGCACTGCTACAACTTACACTGTGGGGGACACCTCTGGCTGGGACATAAGCACTGACCTCAGTACATGGTCCAATGACAAAAAATTTAACGTTGGCGATATTCTATGCAAGTAAAATTTATACTATACATTAATTCTTATTGAATTAAGCAACTTGTTGTCTTTAATTTTTGTTTTGTTTTGTGTTTATTTCTGGTTGCAGGGTTCCAATACTCATCATCTAATAGTGTTAGTCAAGTGAGCAAAGAAAGCTTTGAGAGTTGCAACACAACCAATGTTGTGAAATCATATACACGGGGAAACAAAACGGTCGCGTTGACACATCCTGGAGATTGGTACTTTGTGAGTGATAACAAGCTATAGCCTGCTTGGGAGGGTTTAGAATCATTAATAAAACCACGTATAACCGTGCGGCTATACTATTTAAATGGATAATGTTCTGGAAAAGTAAAAAATGAAAAGAGAACAATAGAGACTCGGGTATTAGTCTAATAATAATAGATAATGCCCTAAACTACTCTTATCGATAAACGAAAATTGTGGAAAAAATTTAAAAGGAAAAAAGGATATCAATATATATATATATATATATATAGAGAGAGAGAGAAAGAGAGAGAGAGAGTATAGCTGATTGGCTATAATATTTATTAAAAAAATTAAAACATAATATTATTTATGAAATAAAAACAGAGTAGCCGCATATCGCCTAGTTGCCCACATGTCTAAAAATCGAGTATATGCGACCAGCTATGCTATTTTTTTTTAAAAGAGGGTTTTTTGCACCCACGTGTCAGTATAGCTGCTCGGCTATATGATTTAAATATATTACATTTATAAGATATAGTTGCGCGGCTATAGTATTTAATTACAAAAAAAATTAAGAAAAAAGGACCCTCCTAGGTGAATTAGTTTATACCTTATAAATATTAATTTGCTTGTTTCAGCCACTATATAATACTTCAATATAATATTTTTTAATATATATAATTTTTATTCAATAGTATGTGAGAATTATTTGTATAATACCTTAATTTTGTGTGTCTTATTTTTGTAAAAAATATGTGTATTAAACATAAGAAATACGTAAGTACATATACAATATGAGTATTTTACATTTTTTTTTAAAGTGAATTTTTTCGAGTCTTTAAGACGTGTACAGAACACGTATATATGTATAGGGGTCTTTTTGTTCCAGCAGCCTGACGAATGGGCTTGGGCTGCCGTAAGAGGAAAACGAACAAAATTCCCCAAGTGCCTGAGTTCGAGAGCCCGGCTCCCAAAAGAGTTTTTGAAGAGTTTGATGAAACTTTAGAAAAACACTCTTAGGTTCTTTTCACCAATAGCCAAATAAACATAATAAATTGATGAGTGACTTGGCTTGAGGAGCTTGTGGCATGGGAGCTAAGCTTTCACAAGTTTAGCAACTTGAGAGAGAGAGAGAGAGAGAGAGAGAGAGAGAGAGAGGGGGGGGGGGAGAGAGAGAGAGAAGCATGTGTAATGACCCGGTCCTAAATAAATTGGTAAGTATTATGTTATTCAGGTAAAAGACCATTTTGCCCTATAATATTTTATTAGGTTTAAAATTGACTTTTTGACTGGGAAGGAATTTGGGAATTTCGACTGTACCATTGCGTAGAGTACGGTGAGATGAGTCCATAGATACGTAGTGGGCTCGAATCGGAGTTGTAACGAGAGAGATATGATCAAAATAACCTTAGTGGCATAGCTATAATTTTGGTGAAAAGGGTTTGATAAAAATCAGATTTCTCTCTCTCTCTCTCTCTCTCTCTCTCTCTCTCTCTCTCTCTCTCTTTTCCCCATGTGCTCTCTCTTTCCTCGCGACGGCAGCTCCCTCTCTTTCTTCAAATCTCCGGCTATCGGCCACGGCTGCGGTCGGGACCAGTGCCAAAAGGACCGGCTCAGCCCCGTCTTCAAGACCCGGCCCTTCCCCGACATCGGCCACCGCTCCAGCTGCAGGAAAACGTGAGTTTTAGGCAAGTTTCCGCTCAAAACTTCACCGGCTCCAATCTCTCTCCTCCGACCGCCATTTTTGGTGATCAAGGTATGGAAATTCATCATTTTTTCATAATCTAGCTGATGGTTGGGTAGGATTATATCAATTTTGAGCCTAGATTGTCTGATTTTCAAATTGGATTTCGGCCATTTTTGGGATCGCGATTCTGGCCACTTCCGGTCATTTTTCGGGGTATGTCCAAGAACAAAAATGGTTCCAAATAGGGTGTTACGCCTAGGGTAAGAGTCTTGAGCTGTGATTTTTGAGTTTTTCGGGCAATGGGTTATCGCTTTGGACACCCATGCGCTGCTGGCGCGTGGGCACTGTGTCCTGATATAATCTCTTGGTCCCCATGAGTGTGTAGGTGTGCTCGGATTCCAATTTGGATATCGTTTGAGTCTTGAACGGATATCGCCTATTGCGCGTCATCCATGTTCGATAGGTTTTGACCGTTGGATTGTTTTAAATTTGTTATAAGTTAATCTGGACATCCATAGGATCGTGTAGGATTCGACGGATCGTAAAACGGAGTCCCAGATACTCCGAAAATGCCAACCCTAGGGCTAGGGTTATAGTAACCGTCCGATCGTGAGCGATCTGACCGTCCGATCTGGACCAAACTTGCAGCACGTGTCCTAAGCCTTGTAGAACACATAGGAACTTTCAGATTGAAGAACGGAGGTCATAGACCCCGTGGGCCTATTTGACCAAGTTTGGGTAGTTTGACCCTTGGTTGACCGTGAGTCTCCCGGGGTTGTTTCACCTTCACAAAAGGATTAAAATGACCGTAGAGACAGGTCTTGATTGTTAGTTGAGTTATGTTGACTATGTGGGATTAGAATATTATTTTATTGTTTTAAATTGGGGGATTAACGTTTGTGGTTGAGGTTTATGCAATATTGGAAATTTATATATATATATATATTGTAAAGATATAAAGATGTTTGATTACACGGTGTAAGTACCATCATGTACCATGAGATGATAGGTCACACGTGGCGTAGGATTTTTCGACATGATGACAGACCTCATATGTGGCGTTGGATGTTCCGGCGTATGGGGAGATTATGTGATTGTTAGGTCCCACGTGGCGTAGGATTTTCCGTTGTGAGGACAGACCTCATACGTGACGTTGGATTTTTCGGCGTATGAGGAGATTATGTAATATGAGATGAGAGGTCACACGTGGCGTAGGATTTTCCAGCTTGTTGACAGACCCCATACGTGGCGTTGGATTTTCCGGCGTATGTGGAGATTATGTGATTAATAGAAAGAGGTTTGAAAAAGATTGTGTTTGGTGAGTTGTGATTTAAATTAAAAAGGGAATGGAGTAATTCTAGAATGTATGAATTGGTATGGCTGTAATGGTTTGTATGTTATTGGAACTGGGATTTCTGTGGAAAGAACTTCGTGTGGCTTGATCCCTCAGTAAGGGTAAGTTGGCAGCCTACAGTTATCAGGCGCAGCCACGAGTTAGGGCCCCAGAGTTTGTGTTAGCGTTTTAGATTGGTTTGGACCTTGTTGTTGGTCCTGAAATTTGGGTTAAAAATGAGATGCAATCGTGTTAGGAGGTTAAAACTTCGTATGATGGATATTTGGGAAGTAGATGATGGAAATTGCATTTGGCATTCGTAAGTGCATGTGAGTTTATTTTTGCTTTGTTTAAGGTACTATTTGGCTTAAGGACCTTGTTGCTAACTTGGTTACGAATTATTTGAAGGCCGGAGACCGAGTTTGTGAATTGCATGAAATTATCTTGTGTATGCTGCCGATTGGTGATATTAATTGTGAATTTTGTGCAGGTTGAAATTGGGGGAATGTTCAATTTACAGGGAAGACTCTGCCGAAATTTCGGTAGAAAGTTTTGTGCCCTTATTCCTTTTTGAAAAAGGAGACTACAGTTTTAGTGAGTGAGCCCGGCATTGGTGTGATGCTGGGACTTCCACAGGATTCATCCAGGATTTCGAAGAATTTGGGGCGGGTCCTGTCAGCATGCGTTTCTTACAGAGAACAAAGGTTTAAATGGGGCAGAGGAAATTTAAGAAGGTTCTTATCTCAGGGAAAGAAGAAAAACAACCAAATAAAAAGATTGGGTGACTTGAGTAAATTCCCAGTTGCTTGACAAAGCTTGGTTAGGCCCTGGATGGATGTCTTACTGGGTAGAGGAAGCTCCCTTTTATAGGCACAAAGAATCCTAATTTTATCTAACCTCCTTCTCCCTTTTTCATTGCTTCTTTCCACTCGATCCTATTTGGTGAAATTTTCTTATCCAAGGAGCATGGGTAAGGAGCCCTTTGTGATTCCAAGGGTTTTGTGTGGCTGGACCTCCTCATGAGGGTGAGGCGACACCTGCTTTCCTTCTTGGTTTTCAAAATTGAGCTTAGAGTGGAAAAGGAGATGGGTAGAGTCTTTTGTCCGATGGGTATTCTTCCTACATTCATGGATTTCCTTCGGTCCCTGCCATGGCTCTTCATTGACCATCTTGGAGTTCTGACAAGGGTGAAACACGATGCCAGATTTGTCACAAGTCACTGGGCTGGGATTGTATGTACAATATTGAGTTATTAGCATATTATTTCCAGCGTTTAATGGGTTTTGTCAAGGTGCTGGGAATAGCTTATTTAATTTGTGGCATTTTATTGATGTGGGCTTGTCTAAGTGTTATAGCAGACTACTAGATGTCCTCCTAAGGCATTTGGATAACTTTTTTTCCCATCTCTCATGCTAACCCATGTGTTTGGGCCTGAGGAATGGGCTTGAGTGTTAGTGCTCCCAAGTGGCCTAAAACTTTTGTTCCTCGTACCCTCAATGGGCCCTGTGATTGCTTGTTCCCTTCCATGCCATAACCTTCTCAGCAAGCCCCGGGTAATTACATGGCTTGGGTCCACTTAAGCTTGTAGCATGACTTGGTATTAGAATGACGTTGTGTGTTTATTTAACATGCTTGTGCTTGGGTTTTATTGTACCGCAATAAGCTATGAGCGGGTCAAGTAGTATTGGATAGGTTGGTGAATCGTGAATTTATAAAGCCGGTGCATTTTTGGTCCTTTTGTGCATGCTTGCTTGGCGTGACGCATGGTCCACGACTTATATAGAGGCATCCCACGATTTCTCTTGCGTCCCAATTGGGTCCCTTTTGCAATCAATTTATTTGTACTAGGCTAGGAATAAACCTGGGCCTAGTCCTTGGATTTTTGGGCCTTAACAATATGTATTATTGAAAAAAGATGGACAAATGATACTTGTTGAACGGGAAATTTTCAGAAAAGCAATCAGCCAGGAATTTGACTTGGGATAGAATTGAAATTTTTGTCCCTGCAATCTTATCAAGAAAAAAAAATAAAATAGATGAATTTCAGTGGATATGAAACACCAAGAGATAAGTATCTCAGTTGACAAGTGGTCATCAGCTTGAATTCAAACTCGTCATAATATAGCCTGTATAAGAGGCATGACGCCGAGAAGCAAAAAGGAAGGAAAAAAGAAAGAGGAACGTAGAGAGGAGAACAGCCGCAGGAAAGAAAAGGAGCAGAAAGGAGAACAGCCACATGAAGGAAAAATTAGCAAGCACACTTCAGAAAGGGAAATGCCATTTCAAGGTAAAAGAAATTAGTTTCATGGCACAATTTTCTGGTTTTTTGCTCAAGACTGCAGGTTTCATTCAACGCAAGGGTTCCTAGCTATGATGATTTCTATCATCATAAAAAGGGCCAGGAATCTTTCAAAGGGACAGCTTCGCTCAAGTCTTTCCGAGGATACGTTATGCACCCAGTTTGTTTGATCAATCCACAGAGATTCTTGGCTATGATGATTGAAATCATCATAAACAAACTTTTTCCCATGGGTCATCTACCCATGCAAATTTCAATGAGATTAAATTCAAATATCTCAAACACAAATTCTAAATTATTGGGCCACACTTACCCCTTAATTTCTAATTTTTCTCATAAGTCATCTACCTATGAAAATCTTCAAATCGTCTCAAAGACACAAATTCTAAATTATTGGGCCACACTTACCCATTAATTTCCAAATCTTGGAACTACGTCGGTTTGATCTCGTCAAGAGTACGTAGGTAGTCTAACATCCCAATAGACGCAACCGCAACCAAATTTAAATCTCTGGTTTATCTTAATCAAATTTTGCCAAAACACTTTCCCAAATGCAATTGTCAATTTTTAGGAAAAATTAATGGAATAATTAAAATTACTCATTATTTTTCTTGGACATTGACAACAACGAAAGTGGTACAAAACCATCCAATTTTTCAGGGGTCATCAACCCATGAAAATTCTAATGAGATTAAATCCAAATCTCTCAAACAGAAATTCTCAATTAGTGGGCCACATTTACCCATTAATTTCCAATTATTCCCATGGGTCATCAACCTATGAAAATCCCCAAAATGTCCTAAAGACACGAATTCTCAATTAGTGGGTCACACTTACCCATTACTTCCCAAATCCCGAACTACGTTGATTTGATCCCTTTGAAAGGGTATGTAGGCAATCTAGAGATTCAATCTAGGTGCAACCATCCCAAACACAATTCCATAACGAATCCCTGGTTTATTCAGCTAAATTCACTCAAACACTCTTCAATCTAACTAATTCAAATTCCCCCTTTGCGATGAGTCATCTATTCATTGCGAATCCTTGAACTACGAGTGGCTTGATTCCCGCAAGGGATACGTAAGCACTCTGAGGTTGGACTTGGGAGCAGCCGCAAAACCAAACACACACTTTCTGTTTCTTTATGATGGAATCAAAGGGTTTTCCCTTGTAGCAAGGGATTGTAATTAGGAGACTTGCGTCTCGAATGAGTCGAACCTAAAATAATAAAACCCCATTAATTAATTAGGGGTGGTGAAATTATGTTGGGAGGTTCACACTTTTCCTTCAACAATGCTTGAATACAACTTGAGCTTCGAAGGTAACAAGTTTAAAGAAATAATTCCTCTTCAGCAACTTGTGAAATGAAGATGGTACACCATTCTGCTTCGATTTTTTCTTATGCCTCTTGATGACGAGAATGTAATAAATGAAATTAAACCGTAGGATACATATCTACTTTTAGTTTCACAAAATTTTTTCAAGGGGTACGTGTTCTGATTAGACAGTAAAAAGAACATCCCTTCAAAGGATCTCAATCATCTGTACTGCACAGATATGGTAATTGAAAGGAAAAAAAGGAGACAAGGCAGTGGATCACACAACAATTTAGTTTCCCAAACCACAACTATAGAGTATCAGGAATGTCTGCATAGAAGGGGAACATCTCTCCATCCAATTCTGTAGCAATTACTTGGATTAATGGCGACTAACAAAAGTGAAGGGCATGAATACTATGGAAAATCAGGAATGTCTGCATAGAAGGGGAACACATCTCTCTATCCAATTCGGTAGCAAAGTAATGGCGACTAACAAAACTGAAAAGAAGTACACGATAGCACATATAAAATAAGTCTCTGTTCATACCATCGAAAAAGGGTCTTCGGTGTGTACCAAGGATGCTTGAGGAAGGTCACCCGTTAAAGGCATACCCCTTCCTTTCTCTGGTGTGGCGACACATCGTAATCCTGGGTGCGGTTCATCTCATGGATTACAAGGTACTTTAATTAGGTTTCTAGTACTTGACTTCCCTAACATGACTAGCTTTATTTAGAAAGAAAATAGAGTCAGTAAGTTTAGAGTCTGTAAAGTCATGAATATGTTAGCATAATTGAAAAAAGAGAGTAAAGATTGCATTAAAAGGCTCCACAACATAAGCACACTCAAAATGAGACCATCTGTCACTGCTACATCCTCAGGAAAGTACGAACATCAATCCATGAGCTTAACCCAATATAACGTTTTAAAAAAACCTAAATATGATGTAACCACCAGAATATTCTAAGTGAGAATACCATTTTAAGCTGTTACGTGTAAACATGGAGCCATTTTTGTAGCTTTTGCACGTCTCCACATCGCTTTTTTTTTTTTCCATCTGTAGTTTTAATTACAGGTTATAAAAACTTAGGGGGCCCAACAACTACAATATCTTAAGAAACCATCAGGTGATTACTCATCCAGAGCGAGCATTGCACAATGTGATACTAAATAATGGTAATTGTGTTACCCAAAATATCTGAGGTATTCTCATACTGTTGTACTGATGGATTTGATGTACTATTCTGTTGATCCAAAATTATCTTCATCTCACTTTCTATCTGTCTCTTTCCACCCAGTGTCAACTCCAGAATCTTAGCAACATCCAAGTCACGTACAGCATCCTTATAATTTCCCGTAGAAGCATTTGCCTTACCTCTTCTGTACCATGCCTGCAGGCTGCAGGGGGGAAAAGGAAGAAAAGCAAATTTGAAGAAAACTAGTGTAACTCTCTGTCTCCTTTATCCTCCAGTCAAAAAGGCATCTAATTCATTAAAATACAACTTAACGCTAGGCAATAAGAGCAACTCACCTTTGCACAGTTCGAAGAAATCTGAAGTGCCTGATTGCAGTCTCGTAAACACTCCCTTAGAAGACCCATTTTCTAAAGACTACATATAGCAGATACACTAACAGTTAGCAATGAAATCTGTTGATAAAGAACTGAACTTGTTACGTTCGGTACATACCCACATAAATCAAGGATGGGACTTATATGCAATACAGAAGCCCGATTCACATCCAAAGTGGCAACCAGATTTCTGTCCTCATGTGCATCCATAGGAACAACTCTCAATGCCTGTGCGTCATGCCAATGATAGATAATAAGCAAACAAGTAAACAAATAAGGGGTTTCAGAGCAGAGGTGTTATCAATCTAAGCCAAAGAGTAATGAGCTCTAGCCATTGCTTCAAAATAGAGAAGTAATTTCAAAGATGGAGGTACCTGAGTATAGAAATCCAAAGCATTAGCATAATCACCATTCAAGAAGCACTTATTTCCCTTTTGCTTCGACTTCAAAGCAGCTTCTTTGTTCTTGCCACGCAGAGCCACTTCAGGGTCCGACAAGTCCCTCACCATCTGATCAAATACGACCGGGAGATCTCTTGAAGTTGAGTCGATCTTGAGAGTTCTGGGAAAGCTAATGCAGATGCTGTGAAGAAATCTCGCCCACGCGATCGCAGGGGACTTCCTGCTCCAGAAGAACGCTGAGATTCAAGCAAGAGAACTAGGTAGTTGGAGTCCCACATCGAAAAACAAACATAAACTTCCTCTTTTTGTCTTTTATAAATATGCTCATCCAACTGTCTTATTTTTCAGTTAAGGTCTTTAAAATTTATAAGTTCTTAGGAGTTCAAAACTTTGTAATAGGAAAGTTCAGAAATTTCCATAAGTTTTCGGAATCTATTGTGATCACAGGCTTAGGTGTACTGACTGTATATCTCCGTGTACCCGTGCATCGTGTGTAATGTCGGGATCAGTTGCTGCAGCTGGTGCTTGGATGAGAAAGTTCAAGGAGTATTATGTTGAATTCCAATCCCTGAGGGAGAAGAAGGTTCATCAAGAGAGGAATCTGAATGGTGAATCACAATCCCTGACAGAGATAGAGGTTCGTGTAGAGAGGTTGAGTGAGACAGACATTGCCGAAGAAATACAATTTAAAACGATGCAATCGGTAGGGCTTCCTTGTTATTCTTTGTTTAATAAATTTTTAATTGTATTTGTGGTGACTCTGAGTTTTCTTTCTCAAGACCATGGAGACACTGGTTACAAAGCAAAATCATGTAGAGAAGTTGCTAAAGGAGGCGGAGGAGCAGCTAAAGGATCTGATGAATGAGCAGGAGAAGGAGGAGGAGAATCCAATGGAGAAATGATAACTAATGCCTCTCTTTCCAATATTATGCTTTCCTACACCCTAAACCCTAAACTTAGTGGGTGGTTTGTTTGCCCTAATTGTTTATTAATTAGATTTGGTGTGTACCGACTCGGATATGGGAATTTTATTAATTAGATTTGGTTCTATTGTTGCGATTACCTGTTTTTGGTTTTTTGTAAATTGTCTCTCACTTGTTTGGTTTTAAATATACATTCACAGTACTTTTCTCAATAATTGACATACGAGATAGCCAATTGTAATCTATACCAATCCTCTTCTTCAATTCTTCCACAAACTTAAAGGTTATTTCATATATAATTTGGAGCAATAAAAACCGTACCTACCACAATGATTTGAGTGACAAAATAATAATCTCATAAAATAACGGTTATTGAAAAGATAATTCTATTATAATTCCTTTATAAGGTTGCTTCAGTATAAAGGAAAGCATAACAATCTGATGGAAATAGAACTCTAGGAGTAAAGATGATGTTAATTTGTAATATATATGACAATAAAATAAATATTCCATCATGTCGAAAAATAATCTTTAGAATCGCACTTGTAATTGGTGTTGGAGAAGACTGTCTAGTAAATCAACATGGATTTTCTCTTACCCTTCAGCAATTACTGCGTGCATTGTGAACGAAAAGATTTTGCAAGCAATGCATGCTTTATTCCAACCCAAATATGCTAATTCATGCATCAATGTTCAAAGATGTGGAGACTCAAATTGTAATTATGCTCACGCAAACTGATCTGGTTATATTTTTAACGTTCTCTGCTTCTCTCTCCTCTTAAGGAATTGAAAGTATGGGAAAATCTTGTATGTATGATCCGTAATAACACGAAAATATATCACAAGGTCGGTAATGAGACGTGATTTAATTTCCTGTTTTATTTGTATATTTATTTCATTGACTTGGTATATATATTCCTTGTCTCTCAAAGACTTGATTCTTGCCTAAAATAGGAAATCCTTTGTGTAGACACCAAGCAAAGCATTGTATATAATTATCACACGATTGTTCAATGAAAATCATCGAGAATACTCAAAACCTTTCAGTCGGTTTATGCTGTCCACGGCAGCAGTCACCCACTACTACAATATCTGGGTTTGGGAACAATTATCATTCGTGCTTTTTAATAAAAGGCTCAATTATTTGTGCCCTATGAGGATGGCCACAGTGCAGCCACTTTTGAATAGTCTGTTTTCTCAATAGGAATTTGACAGAGTTTCCTCTGATCAAAGGGCACGATTTTGCTTTGTCGTGTCTAAAAACTCAATACTTTTGAGCACGAAGGATATCATTCTTCTGACAACATTGAGAACAAATTGTGATTTGCCTTTGTACTAGTGTCACTTTTGCACACAAACCATTCGTGTCTAAAGTGTTTATTTATTTTATTTTAAAAAAATAATAATAGCAATTTGCGATCTCACGCATACAGATTGGGCCATATACTAACAAGGTAAATGCCCTACACTGAATTAATTCTCATTCATACATATTACAGGATCCAAATTTTCATTTCATGTGCAAGATAATGAGGTAATTCAACCATACACCACATTTTCTCATCGACAAAATCACATTCAAAATTGTACTCGAAAAGAAAATATTGACGAAAAATTTATAAATATCAAGCATCCAGTATAGGGCATGTGCATAACAAATTACAAATTCCCCTTATGTATAAAAATTTATAAGTTTGTATCACATTCAACCATGATCATGACTTAAATACAACATTTAGGTTGATATCAACCTCAAATAAAAACTGAACGTAGTACCAAAGAAATATACTAAATTAAATATACAACCCTCTGAACCTTGTCAGCAGCCTAAATGTTATGAAGATTGAAGACCTGGCCAAAATCAAGTGCATCTTTGCCAACCAAAAGTTCCAAAGTTCTTGTCACTAGCCTAAATGTTTTGAGGCTGAAATCACATAAAAAGTAGATTATGCAAGACTAGATTTCAATGACTAACACACAAACCTAGCAATTCTGCAATTAGAAGCCAACAACTAAGCCGATAACCAACTCCCCTAATATGCATATGTTTACAGAGTTTTTAATTAAGTAAAAAGAATTCCAGTGCACACTAAATTTAACGACACATGTACAAACATATATGCGTATATATGTATACTCATAAAACAGAATTCAACCTGAATAGCTTTTGTTAGAGAAAATAGCTTATGAATCTCAACCAGATTTAGCAGAATTATGAACTTAAATTAAAACGTAAAGATTTTGTTAGAGAAAACAGCTTATGAATCTGAACCTGATTTAGCAGAATTATCAACTTTAAAACACAGCTAATATAAGTATTCACTAGGGTAGGTCCAAGTCCAAAAGACACCTCTCCTGATGTGTGTTATATCTAAGTTTTCTCTCAAATATGCACATTATAATTTTCCTATACAAATGTGGGGTATTGTTAGAGTTTGTATAGGAAAA